TATATATTTTTTTTTTTCTCTAAGAATGGAGCAGGGCTGAGCTTGATATCAGGAGAGGCCATTTTTCGAGTGTTTGCCTAAACACGTAGATTATCTTCTAGCTTCCCTTTTCTAATTTTTTTTTAAGAAAAAAATATTAGTTATGTCTTTCAGAGCAGTGGAAATGGTTGATTTCCCACTTGAGATGAATCTCCTCAAGCAACAAAAAGCTTTCCCATGAGGTTGCTTATAAGACTTACAGGAACTTAGTTTATACTTCAATGATGAGAGTCCTTTCCTTAAACAGAAAATAACCCCTGCAGATTCTTCCCTCAAACTATGTCTCCACTTTGACACTGTCAGTCATGTGCCAGACCTGACCTGGAGTCTGGAGGGCAGTAGCATGATCTCATGTGACACTGGCCTCAGGCTGGCCTGGCTTCCCTGCTTGTGAACGCTGTTGTGAGCCACAATGGCATGGCCAGGTGCTGATTCATAACTTAGTTAAGGCCTGGAAAGATCCAGTTGTCACTGGAAAGATTTGCTTTTGGACTCCAGGCTGATCAGAATTAGACCACCACCTAATTCTGATTTTGTGTTGTATATTTTTGTTTCTGAAGATGTACTGGTGGTGATTTGTTGTTTTCTGGTTTTGTTTTAAACATTAGAGTATATGCGGCTGTTTTTGGATCAGGACAAGGGCAGCAGCTAAGGTGGTATCTCTGAAAATTCTATGACCCTAACTTTTCTCAGCCTACTTCCCTCCTCACAGTTGAAGCTATGAGAGTAGTATGTCAACCACTCCGCATTCACCCTTTTGATGGACTGGAGCAGTCTTTCGCGCTGGTACCAGTGGTGATAGTGTGCTTTTGTGAAGCAGTGTCCACTGGGGATCACCTGAGGGCAAAGCTAGAGGATGGGGATGCCTGACTGATGTAGTCTGGTCTAACAGCAATCCTGGCTGTGGGGTTGGAGTCGAGCAAGGGATTGTGGGTTAGTGATGCATTCATCTAGTCTGAAAAATAGAGTATTGAACAAGGCCTTGGAGATCTCTGAAGTGGAAGGTTGCTTTGCTGGTTCCTAAGTCACTGGGCTATATCGTCACCCAGTACTGATTCAGTCTCCAAGCTCATTCCGGCTCCTCTCTGCTTGATACGCCACTTCACTGGGACAGCTTCTAGCCCGGATTTGTCTTCGGTTCTGTAATAGCAAGTGGGACATGCATGGAGTTTGACTGATTCGTTAAACCATTCTGGGGTCCCAGATGCTAGGTACAAGGGGCCATAGTATCGTGGGGCGTCTACATCAAAGGGAATTAGACATTTTATCCCTGCCTAATATCTGTTTCTCTGCTGGGAGATGAAGAGAACATGACGTGGGTCCTCTTACCTAGGAGCTTCCAGCTTTACAGGTAAAGGAAGCAAGTGAATCACAGGCACACCCTGCCTGCAAAGGGAGAAGGAAAATACCCATCCCTGGGTATTGATCAGAGCAGAAGAGGATCATGGGAATGGTTTTAAAGGGAAAACTTGGCTTAAGCCATGACAGATGAGGAGAAGGCCAGGAGGACAATGGCAGACCTTGTATATCAAGCAGGGGAGGAAGCCTGAATGAGTTTGGAGACTGCGAGAAACAGCATTGGCCTACACTGAAACTCCACGTGGTGACTGCACGGTTAGAGTGTAGGATGCGAGAGAGAATATTCAGGGAGTGGCCCTAGAGAAATTGCCAGACATCCTCACAGAGCCTGGGCCTTGTGGAAAGTGTATGCTGATGAACAACAGAATGAAATCTACACTATGATAGCTCTGTCTGTCAAGGATGGACGTGATGAGGTGGGAGTGGGGAGACAGGGGAGACAGACAGACGGGCTGGTGGATGAGCGAGCCAGCCAGAGAGCATTCAATGCGGGAGTCCCTCTGAGAGGTAGCACACTGCAGACTGAAGGAGGTTCTAGGAATATGAGAGAAGAAAGCAAAGCCCTGCTACTTACCAGAGCTGAAGGAAAGACGTGGGGGAGATAATGAATGTCTATAGGATAAGAACTGTCTGTATTTTACATGGCGGGAGCTGGTTCTAATCTAGGATTAGCAAGGTACTGCAGTTTCAAAGCAAAGATGGCAAAATCCTCATACCTCACAGACTTGCTTAGCAAACACATGTGTCAGGCATGTGATACCTAGTCCATTCGGAATAAATGATGCATCCAGTCCATGTGCTAGTATTTCTCTGTGTAAGAGTTTGGTGTGATGGTAGGCTGTGTAACCTTTCTGAAGGGTGGCTGGTAATTCCTTCCTAATGTCAACTGGCACCTGCTTGCCGGGAGCCATAAAGCCCCCTTTTCCTGAGCTGTGAATATTGTGAACTAGTAATGTTCCTTTGTAAGTTGATGGTGACACAAACTCCTTTTCTTCACCATTGAACCCCACTGAATGGGGACCTGGAGTCTAGTATAAAAGTATTACATAGAGTTTTCCAAGCATTTACATTCTTTGAGGAGAATTCACATGTAATGCTTGGGAAAAGGCATTAGTTGTCCCTTTCTGACCACCTCCCTCCCCCTTTTGCTGCAGGATGTGAGCTGTAACGAGATCACAGCCTTGCCCCAGCAGATAGGCCAGCTGAAGTCTCTACGGGAACTGAATGTCCGAAGAAATTACCTTAAGGTTTTACCACCAGGTAAGAAAGGAGGGCAAGGTGAAGAAGATGGAGACATAACCTTTTAGGTTTACTTTTATGAGGAGTGGTGGGTCTTGCGTGTGTGTATACTAGTTGTTATTAATAATTAATAGTTAATCATTAACAATTAACAATTAATAATTAGCAATTAATAATCCCACTGGCAGATGTCAGAACAGTGGTGGTCTAGTTGTACTTTGAATCAAGGCTACAGCAACACAACCATTGGTGAGACATATATTAGTTTTCTAGGGCTGCTATTAAAAGGCCCACAGAGAAGGCAGCTCGGATGACAAGAAGGTATCTCTTCACTGTTCTGGATTGTCCATTCCAAGGCCTTTCTCCGTGGCTCTCAGATGGTCGTCAATTCTCCCGACTTTTGTGTCTGTGTCCTGATCTCTTTTTACTGTTATACCAGAGGTTCAAAGTTTACCCTAAAGACCTTGCTGTTACTTTATTGCCCCTTTAAAACCTCATCTCCAAATACCACTGAGTTCTGATGTATTGGGGTTAAGATTTCTGTATCTGAATTTTGGGGTGTGGGACTTGGCCATCCATATAATGTGGTGGCATGAATTCTTTTTGGACAGGCATGTGATATTCCAGAACATGAAGCTAACAGTCCGGAGGGAACAAGCTTGGTCCTGCAGATCCTGGCTATCAGGATTTGGGGATCTGGGAACACTGGTAGGAAACCCATAGTGTCTGCATTCTGCTTCACTGTGAGGGTGATACTACAGCTGAGCCCTCCCACACTGAGGCCACAGTCATTAGTACCAGTGATGGCCCTAAAGCTTTGCATGGACACTTGGTTCCCCTGATCCTAGCACAGTCAGTCATAGTATCCCCTAGACAGCCCTGTTGTGGGCTCTTGTAGTATGTCCCTGTTGTCCAGGGCACTAGGGTTTAAGCATAAAGACATATTTACTTAGAAGTTGTAAGTGCTTAAGGGGTCTTCTTGGTGTGTAAAGTCCTTGCTTTATGAGCATAGAGATATGTTTGGATCCCTAGCATTCGTATAAAAGCCAGGGGTACTGAGTGTGGCAGAATGTACCTGTAGCCCTAGCACTGAGGAGGTATGGAGATAAATGGATCTCTGGAACAGGCTAGCCAGCCTGGTCAAACCAGTGTGCTGTAAGTCAGTGAGAGACTGGCCTAGTTAACTATCAACATTAGCCCAGAATCCCTTGGGAAAAAAAAACAGTTATCTTTATCAGGTTGATTTATGGGTATGTTTGTGAGAGAGCCTTGATTGCTAATTGCTGTAGGAGAGTCCATCCCACTGTGGGTGGCTCCATTCCTACGCAGGTAGTCCTGGTCTGTATAAGATAGGCAGCTAAAGGTAGAGAGCAAAGCAGCAAGCAGTCTTCCTCCATAGTTACCGCTTCAGTTCTTACCTTCACCTCTCTTAACAGTGGACTGTGTAACCTGCGAGATGAAGTAAACACTCTCCTCCCTAAGTTCTCCTCTCAGTTGCTTTCACCAGGGTTTGTTATCACAGAACAGAAGGGAAACTTAGAGTGGAGATCCTGTCTCAAATATTGAAACAAATTACAACAGATGAAAGAGAGAGCAATAGAGAAAGACATCTGAGGGCCAACTCTGCCGTGTACATAGATAACATGTGCATGCACACACACACACAGAGAAAGAGAGAAGAGAGAAGAGAGAAGAGAGAAGAGAGAAGAGAGAAGAGAGAGAGAGAGAGAGAGAGAGAGAGAGAGAGAGAGAGAGACAGAACATGGCTCATTTATGATAAAAAGCAGCTCAGAGGACAGGGATTATTGTAACTCATAGTTCCAAGCTACAGTCCATCATGTGGGGAAGTCAAGGTGGGAGGAACTTGAGTGTGCCAGTCATGTCCACAGCCAAGTCCAGAGAGAGAGCCAATGCATCATGCCTGTTTGCTCGCTTATGTGTAGTTCAGTTTCTCCACTCACACATAGTTCATGGACTTCCTCTATAATGAATATAGAATACAGTGTGAGAATGTAGAATACAGTGTGAGAATGTAGAATACAGTGTGAGAATG